GGGACATATTCCTAAAATTTGATCCAACTATTGCTCGGCTGTGTTTATGTTTCAAGAATGTTTGGCTGTGCTGAGCAACACTTCCTGAATAAATATAAATATTGACATGAATAAATACATGACTTGTCCTGTGGCTGTGTCTATATAGGGGTAATGAAGACACACCCTACGAAGTGAAGCACACCATGGCCTACCCCAAGAGCAAGGCCAAGGCCGAAAAGATTGTCCTGGAAGCCAATGGAACAAAGGTAGCACCTGACAGATCATTCGGTGTTGTGTTTTGTGGTTGAGCCATGTTCTTCTTGCGACCTTTTTGTGAGTCTACTTGTGATCAAAATGCTTCCCAAACTTTATGTTGCTGACTCAAACTCTTTTTGAGAGCAGAATTTTACCCAAAGTATTTTCTCCTCTTCTTGCCGTGCAGGTGCGGAATGGTGAGCGTTTGCGCACGTGCTCTTTGAGGCCGACCGGCATTTACGGCGAGGGCCACGAGCTCATCAAAGACTTTTACAAGTTGGCAGTCAAAAGGGGAGGCCTGATCATTGGCGGCGTCCCCGACAGCACTGAACACGGGCGAGTCTACGTCGGTGAGTACCAGAATAGACTCCCAAAAAATATACAGTGCGGTGACAGCAAAGCGGAAGTCATGCAACTTCTTTCTTCCTCTTTGCTTCCTACCAATGTAAAGCATAACAATCTGCAGTCGCGGTGTCAGAGAAGTGACTCACATCACTTGGCTTGGTAACGCTAAAACAGTAGTTTGGATCTTCCAGCTAACATTCTTTCCCCCCCTGTGCAGGCAATGTGGCGTGGATGCACGCGCTGGCCGCCCGGGCCCTGCGGGAGCATCCGGAAACTGTGGGCGGCGAGGCCTTCTTCTGCTATGACGACTCGCCCTACAAGAGCTACGAGGACTTCAACATGCTCTTCCTGTCCACCTTCAAGTTCCGGCGCGTGCGCATGCCGATGCTGCTGCTGTGGTTCCTGGCCATGCTCAACGACATGCTACGCTGGATCTTGACACCCTTCTGCAACTTTGCGCCCCTCTTGAACAGCTACACCCTGGCCGTGGCCATCACGTCCTTCACCGTGAGCACGGACAAAGCGCTGCGCCACTTCCAGTACCGCCCTCTGTACAACTGGGACCAGTGTCGGGAGCGCACTCAGAGATGGGTGAACACCTT